GCGGCACGATAACAAATAAATAAATGAAACTGAATACGGCAAGATCTTTTTCGCATTTTGAAATGCATATGGACAGCTACAATAATGTTGAAGTTCTCATTTCGATGCTGCAAATCACGCACAATTGCATTTCGCAAGATTAAATTTTCAACACGCATTGCTGTTTAATTCTACATACCGCATCCAGTCGGAAATCTCTGTAGAGGAAGTATTCATCGTCATGTTGGCTTAAGAGTTTTAGATCTTTGTGTTTAGATGTCTCCTATACGTATGCCCGAAGTACAGTTATTAGCAAGCACTTGGCTAGTTGGCATGAACCGACAATAGATAAGCCTGTACTGCTGCGATAGATGTATTTTCAGCCTCAATGTTCAGGTCGATGTTGCAGCTTTATTACTATGTGTCTGAATGATTTCACCATGGTTTCCAAAACGTATGGTGTGGTGAGGTGAGTGTTGCGTCTTTCTCAGTTCACGCATGTATGGGATACATGACGTTGAGGTCTACACTCTTTTTATATTATATATGATTTGTGATTGTATTCAAAGAAGTAAAAAATATATGTAAATACATAGGCTCATAGAGTGTATAAAACTGTCTATATTTACGTAACAGTAGCGTCTAAAATATTTATTTAGCTATGTACATATATTTATATTTACAGCAAAACAAGAATATTGATTGGTCCTCGCCGCGAAGCGTCATATATTTTTTTTGATACATAATGTATAATAATCACATTCTTTTTCAAGAGGAAGTTGTTTTCAACCCAACAATATTCGTGTATAAAATACAACTCTTCCGTCGAATAGGCACCAATAGACCGATAGTCCAATGCAGGATGCAGCACCCTCTCGATCAAGACTCGCGAGAGTTTTCTGTCATTGAATTTGTCTTACATGTAGTGGATAAAAGTGTCACTATCCGATCATTGAACTAAATACAAAGGTGCAACTCAAATATGTTATTTTATATGTATAAATATATGTATATTAGTACCTATTTAGTATTTACACCTTATGTAGCAAATGAGTTAAACATACTGTTATGTACTTACTAAAGAGTAGGAAATGTGACGGGTTCATCACAGGGAACGAGGATATTCCAACATTGTCTAGTATTGAAGCCAATAGCTACGTCTATTTATTTCCTAATATCCTCATACACATTGTGTGAGACAGCCTACGCTTTTTGAGAAGACGAACCAAACCTGAAGCGAAATATGATTTATAGCCATTCTAAGCAACAGCACAACACAACATGAGAAATTGTTGTTTGTAGTTTTATTCTGGTCTCTCCGCGTCAGACTTCCATCGATAGAAGCCCAGGTTCGCATACACTACCGTCAAGTTCTCACCCCCAGCTATTAGTCGCGTATTAAATTCGATATCCTCACCGAGCGGCAAATTATTTCGTTGTTGGTGTTTCATCCACACATCTTTCTTTACACTAACCCATCCATTTGCTGTTAGAGAATTAGGTATAAACGGGCAGCACCAGGAATACGGTGTCTCGCCTTTTAAGGCCATATTATTCTCCTCTAGATGTACAGCAAATTCCTCACGAATCCATTGCGGATCGTACGTTCTGTTGTAGATCTCATCCATTGTATAATACAGCTCGACAGGCACCGAGTTGTTTTTCAATTCTGCACTTGTTGTGAATGAGAACTGTGTGAGCACTGCATTGACCTCTGGCCTTACCTTAAATACCTGGTCCAGAACTTCGAATCGCTGACTGTGCAGTACATCATCGACATCTATATGGAGATAGCATCGAAAGAGAAACGGACAGATTGTTAGTATCTGACCGAAGATGCACAAATGAAGTATGTATATACATATATCTATACGATGGTAACTTCATAATATTTTACACACATTTTACATTCACATTAGCCGTCAATACAAATGTTTACATCAAACCGAGATGGTGTGGGTCACGGCGAATGCGATCATGGTACACAAATACTGATGGTATGCGACGCTGGAAATCTTACATACCGAATACAGACACCCACTGCCTCGTAGCACTCGCAGCACCTATGTTTTTCGCAACCGATTGTAGTACAGGATAATTATACTCGAGTAATCTGATACGCATTCCTGTGTCTACTTGTAGCTGCAAGAAACGCTCTTTCTCCTTTATATACTTCGTAGTATTAAGTTCCAGACTAGAGGTATTTGATACAACCATAAGAACTTCCTCTGGTAAGACTGTTAATCGTTCAAAACTCTCATAAAGAGGATCGGCAAAATGTACGAAGTCAAAGGCAAGAGCGGGTATTACTAGCGTTATGTTTGTATGCATTCTGGTGTAGTTTGAAGGTTGGACAATCTCCTCATTGGTTGCAATCTCCTCATTGGTTTCGTTATATATGACCTGCCTGTTTCGAGTCCATACTGCTGTAAATAGTAGAAACCCAACTAAAACAATCTGTAGAATACGGGCGGGGACGTGATTATAGCCACCTTTCCTTTTTCGGTAGAATATAGGTTCTATTTGTGGCATAGTGGGGGTCAATCGGACAGCAGGTCGCGAAATGTAGCCATGGCCACGGTTCCGAGGGATATATGTATCCCGTATAAACATGTAAGTTTTACTAGTCTTGCCGAAAATGGTCCAAATCTCAACCCCATCGAGCAAATCTTTGCCGATACCAAAATGCATAAGACAGTTGGCGGTGCCAATTAAATATACACAGAAATACCCACCAGGTCGCTATAGATGTCTTTCAAAAAAAAAGTGCATATAGCGGGCTTCAAGATTTCATTTTCATTTCAGGAGTCACAGAGACATGTATTTACTGCACAGGACATCACAAGTTCACGTAGATTTGGATATATATATAAAATCAAGGATCTTTTATTAGGGATCGTTGACGTTCAGGACTTCAGGCCCACTGGGGCAGGGGCCCTTAAAAGTGGCAACAGAATTTTCTGGCCTAATAAATAGATTAGCAGGCTAGCCGCTCTATTAAACCCCCAGAAATAGAATCCAGCAGATGGCCAGCCGCCAGACTGATAAGACTTCACTTGAAAGAATCCAGACTCCAGACGCCAGACTCCAGAGTCCAGACTCCAGACTCCACTGACCACTCAACACTCCAGGACTCGTGAGTCCAGAGTTAAGACTCCAGAGTATCCAAACTCCACTGGTGGCTGGGGAGAGTGGACTCAGTGGAGACAGGGGAGACAGTGGAGAGTGGTGACTGGAGACTGGAGAGAGAGGAGTCTTGTATTTTTAAAATAGAGTGAGTAGACTAGTCACTGAAGTCAGTACTCAGTAGTCACTAGTCACTACTAGTATGAGAGTCCTAAATTAGGTTATTTGATTTTCAGCGCGAAGTCAATGTTTTTGTCAATTCGAGTTTCGTACAAAAACAATTGTAACAAAATAAATAAAAATATGTCGTATTTTATGCCCACAAAGTCACAAACATAGCCTCCTTCTCTTTTAAGGAGGCTATCTATGTATGAGTATGCCACAAAGAAATCTTATTTATTTTACGACATTGATATTTTTAGATCAATATTGAATGCGCGCAGTGATCCCAGTCCTCGGTCCGTTTTCTCGATATGTACTGTACTTTCTACGACGTTTTGTTTTTATTTTTTATTTTTGGAAAAAATTAAGTTTTGCGTGAAAGTTTTAAACGTTTACGCTATATAAATACATGTACATACTCTTATGTATGTCATGATTTCAGCTATCCTTTTTACGGGTTTTTTTTGTACGTCAACATAGTTTAAAATTCGATCATTTTGCGTTTACGTTCAACGTTTACTGCAAGAGGGTGCAAAACTAATATACGCATTCTACTAGTAGAGGATTCCACCTTATTAAGAGCAGAGTGAGGTATCCACAAGGCACACGCGCAGTGCAGTGCATACTGCGTACTGATGTAAAAAGATAAATAGAAATGCATTATACTTGTCAGCTAACTCTAGTGGTAGTATGCTAGACCAGCATACTCGAGTCTCATATAGTATGTATCCTTACTTGTAAGTAGTGGATGTGCGTTAAAATACATTTACGTGGTTCCAGCAGCCAGCTACGCCGCTGGGTTTAAACTCTGGCACACACCTTCCAAAAATAGACATATGCGTTCACATCCCTTCGGGATTGAAACGGGCAAGAAGGGTACCGAATCCTTGTCAGTGTTTCATCCACTTCAAGGATCGCAGTCCAACGACTCGATATTTGAGGATACATTTCCATACACAAGAACCCGTACAACCAAGAATACATATTTCACACAAAAAGTTATGCGGCTCTTTACCTGGCGTCAACGGCACATAGTACTAGCCTGTATAGTATTACTGCTGTTAGGGTTTATCCCGGGGTTACAAAATATTCCGAACAGCGGCCCTGTGGTAGAAGAGATCACGCCCATAGACATAGACTTAGATAGAGCTAAACTGCAATACCTGCAGAAGGCCAATAGACTCAATAGTCCTCTAGTACAGTACAACAATACCATATATGGTCATGGGGAGTACGAGCTAGAGTCCGATGTGCCACAATGTCGGAAAATGTTTGTGGTTTGGACTACAGACGAAAGCACGTGGCAGGAATTCAACTCTGTCTCGTTAGAAAGCATCTTTAGATACGACGCATGTGCTCAGGTGTTTGTATACGCAAATAACCTTCCCTTCGACTTCTTCCAGGGTTACAATGAAGCTGGATTTTTCTTGAAAGTGATTAGATATGATTTACCCAGTTTAGCGAAGGGGAAGGCCGGGGAGAAGTGGGCCAAGGGCTCCTCATATACGTACAAACGATCACCGTACTATGCAGTGCATGAGAGTGATTTTCTGCGGGTCTTTCTGCTTTACAATTATGGAGGTACCTACATAGATCTGGATCACTTCATGTTGCCCATGTCCAGGGTATTGAACAACCACAAAAACATGCTGGGTGCTGAGACTTGCCAAGAAGACAATCCAGGTATATATGAATAGTGTTTGACTAACCTTGAAGTGCTTGTGTATGCGTTCACTTCCAGTATGCCGTAAATGTTGCTTCGTTTTATAAGTTCTGGATGGAATTCGGGTTCGTATATTTTATATTACGAGTATAAGAACATTTGAGTGATATTATGTATATGTACATATTATTTGAAGTTCCACGAATGTGAGAGCCAAACTGACCGAAGAAGACAACCGATTTATATACATAGCGTTATATGTCTATCTGTGTTCATATTTATTTCTATTTCTATTTCTATATATATATATATATATATATGTGTGTGTGTGTATGTGTGTGCTTGTGTGTGTGTGTGTGTTTGCGTGTAAGTGTATATGCTTAACCTAATGTACGTGTACATATATCTACATACGTATCATAATATATATATATATATATATATAAATATATATATATATATATATGTGTGTGTCTATCTATATATACATATATATATTTATATATGTATATGTATATGTAAATATATACATATGTATATTTATATATATT